TTTTTAATTTTTAGTATTGCAATTTCATAGTCAGATTTCTTCTCTTTTTTATAGTATTGATAGTGCCTGGTAGACCATTTTATTGTATTTAACCACCCACTGTCTAATATATTGTTTAGTCTATTTCTTTCATTAACACTTTATATCCACTTCATTTGTTCACAAACTAAGAACCTTATTATTATAGACAGGTGTGAGTATGAGATCTGGATTATGCAATCTAGTTAAATTAAAATATTCTCTATATCATACTTCATAAGCTGATTTCCTATAGTATTGTCAGTTGGACCTTTGGTCAATGCCAGCTTACTTACATAGAATTTTAATATATGCAGATCACATTTCCATGATTGCGACTGCCCATCAAAGCTGTCATATGTCACATGTCACCTTAACATTTCCGTTAAATACCATTCTCTCTCCTGTTGCCGACAAAAATGTAGCTTCGAATAATTTTAAACTGTTTGTCCTTGTTTAGTGTAGTGTTATGTACAATTTATGTTTTATTTTCATGTTTATTACATTCTGCGCTTGCTGGATAGCCCAAATTTGACGAAGTAAGTCTAAAACGTTAATCACAAAAAACTTTTATCGTCTTCTTCAATCTATCTTCTTAACACTTCTGCATTTGTAACTCGTTGGGTCCATGGTATTTTCAAAATTCTTCTATAGCACCACATCTCAATTGATTCCAACTTCTTTATATCATCCACTTTTAGTGTCCAGCTTTCCATTCCATACAACAAAGTCGAGAACACGTAGCATCTTAAGACTCTTATCCTCAGCTCCAGAGGAAGGTCTCGAATAACAAACATTGTTTTTATTTTTATAAATGCTTTTCTTACAATTTCAATGCGCGTCCTTATTTCTCTACCTTGGTCATTGTTTTCATTTACCCAGGTTCCCAGATATTTGTAGTTATTCACTCTTTCTACTTGTTTTCCCTCGATATCTAGCCAGCGCTTCTAGACTGTGCAAAAACAGCGGTGTCGTCTGCGAATCTTATGTTGTTCAAGATTTTTCCGTTTATTGATATACCCTGTTGTTCTTCTGATAGTGCTTCCTTAAAAATAGCTTCGCTGTACAAATTGAATAACAATCGGGACAGCACGCAACCCTGTCTAACACCTCTTTTTATTTCTGTAGTTTCTTTATCGACATTTTTGATTCTAACCTTTGCTTTTTGATTCCAGTACAGATTGATAATAACCCGTATATCTTGACTATCCACCTTCTTTTCTTTTAACAGTTTTACGAGTTTCTGATATCGTACTCTATCAAAAGCTTTTTGATAATCTATAAAGCAGACATAGAAATCCTGGTTCATATCTAGACGTCTTTGCGCGCGAACGTTAAAAGCGAACAGAGCTCTCGTTCCTAGTCCTCCTCTAAATCCAAACTGGGTGACATCTATATCTTCTTCTATTTTTTTGTATAGTCTTCCATGTATTATTTTGAGAAGTATCTTAAGTGTGTGGCTTATTACGGAAATTGTTCTGTACTGGGAGCATTCTGTCGCTTGTACTGATTTTGGTAGTGTTACAAACGTGGACAGCAACCAATCTTCGGATATTACTCATCTGGGTCTACTGATTTTGCGGTCTTTGCATTTCTAATTGCCTGTTCTAATTCGCCCATTATTATTTTCGGTCCTGTTTGTTCCTGTGGTTCTTCTTGTATAATTCTATCATCGTGGAATAATTTCATTATGTATTCTTGCCAAAATCTTAGTTTATCTTTGATGTCTGCAATGAGTTTATCATTTCGTTCGAGTTTATTTTAGCTCATTTCTTCCTTTGGTTTTTCTCCTCTCTTCCATTAATGCTGGAATTTCTGTCATCCACTTTTATTTTTTATTTGTCTTTTCAAGTTTTAAATTTTCTTCTGCAGCCTTTAGTAATGCCTTCTAAATATTGTTCCACTTTTCATTGACATCTTCTGTTGTTAAGATTTCTTCTCCTACTTTTGTTAGATTTGAGTTGACTTCTTTGATCACTTTTTGATGTATTTCTCTTTTTCTTTGTTTTGTATAATCAAACATTGGTTTATTTTTTGGTGTTACAATCATTTTGAGTTTCACGTGCATTCTAGATATCGGGGGGTTATGGTTTGAGTTGACATCTGCTCCGGGTATGCTTTTACAGCATAGGAACGTCATTTGTAGTGTATTCGGATTCCTGAACTAATTGTAACTGTGGTGCAGTATATTAGGCGAGGCAATGAAGCAATAAACCTACCAACCCATGCAGTGGGATGGATCTCAAAAAAAACTTATTTTATTCGATGCGTAAGAGTGTCAGGAAATTTTGTGAACAAAAATGATGATATGGAAATTAAAATTACAGTATTGAACAATGAAAATGTTTTTCCACATTACATTTAGAAGTGATGAAAAATTATAAATTTATAATCCTAAATAATTAACGAAAATGAGTTGAATATTACTACTCAACGGTTTTGGGGGACAGTAAACACGAATATCATCACGGCACTTGGTGCACATGCGCCTCGTCTCCTTGAGTTTTGTGAAAATTCGATACAAAATTAGTGCAAACTCGTTACTCGGTGGTTTTTGGAGTCGCTGAACAATATCATGCTGGCGATGATTTGCGGGCCACCTGTGTGCAAAGTACCTGGTGCCCAGCACGGGCCTCGTGCCTTGTCTCCTGGAATTTTGTAGAAATTTGACACAAAATCAGTTCAAACTCGTTACTCTGGGGTTTTGGGGTGGCTAATATCATGGTGGTGATGATACACCAACGACCCCAAAAACCTCTGAATAACGAGATTGCACTGATTTTATATCGAATTTCCACAAAAATCCTGGTGACGAGGCTTAGGTGTAACAAGTGCCTGGAAGACCATCGCCGTCATGATATTCGTATTCAGTGACTCCAACATCTCCCGAGTACTAATATTGAAATCATTTCCGTGAATTATATCTAAATTACAAATTTATCATTTTTGAGAGTATTTTTTAATAGTTTGGTGCTTTGCAATGGTTCGCTTGAGCTGTTTCACTCAATTTTTTTAACTGAATAAATTTGTACGACTTATTTTCTGAAGTTTCACAGTAAAAAAAAATGTCGACACTCCAAGCTAAATATTGAAATATAGTTAGTTCATTTGTGATTGTAATCGATATTCATTCTAGAATGATAAATAAAAAGTTTGTATATTAGCCTATCAAAACTATTTTAGTTCTGGATCCCATCCCATATAGGAATAAAAGGCAACGATACTGCTGACCATAGTGCGAAAGACGCGATAGTGAGTGACGTTTCCGAAATCGTAAACACATCGGTATCAACGGATATAAAAGCTTATATAAAAAAATCAATCTTAAGTGCGTGGAAAAATAAATGGAATGTGTCGAATTCAAAATTAAAACAAGTGAAACCCAGCATAGAGGCATGGAATGTGTTACCTACGTCAAGAAGCCAAGAAATAATAATAACGCGCCTCAGACTCGGACATACTAGGTTAACACATGACTACTTAATTAAAAAGTGCGAACCGCCGCGATGTGAAACGTGCAATACGACACTAACAATAAGGCACATACTATGTGAATGTTCCCTCTACAATCAACAACGAAGCAACAACAAGATACCAGGAACACTTCTAGAAGCTCTAGGTGCAGACTGTAACTTTAATAATACTTTGAACTTCTTAAAAGAGATTAATAAGTACCACAATATTTAATAATAAACCAAATTGTAATGCAGTAATTGTACATAATGTAATCCATTAATTTTTCGCTAATGGCCATTTGGTCGATGCGATGTTCTAAATAAAAAAAAAACTATTTTAGCTTTGAAATTACTATTCCGCAATTAAATAGTAAAGAGAATATGTACAAACTAGTTTACACAAACAGATGGGGAAAGGTAAGTCGATGCCGTTTATAGGATGATTATGTAAAAATAGTAAACAATAAAAAATTGATAAGTTGAATTTTAACAACAATCCAGGAGGAATACATATGAACAGGAACACTCTCAAAAGATGGATACATATATGCTAACTCATGGGACACCGGAAAAAAAAATACATCGTATCTGATAATAAAAAGACAAAAAATTTAGTGTAAATGATATTAACTTTTTACACGATCATTCGTTCCACTTCTGCAAACAGCTTATGCTTGTTACCGAGTGTACTATACATTTTGACTTTTAGCAGTTTTTAAATTATATTCTAGCATTCTTATGTTTTTGCTTTATTTTTAGGTCCTGATTTGGTAGTTTGTGATGAAGGTCACTTAATAAAAAATAAGAAAGCAGTAAGAGCCAAAGCCCTAAATAAAATTAAAACTAACAGGCGTATTGTATTAACTGGCACCCCACTACAAAACAATCTAGTAGAATGTAAGTTGTAAAAAATTATTTTTTAATAAATAATGTCTTAAGATATAAAATATCATAAATTAAGTGCGAAATGATTAATATTTCTAACCATTGAAATACCACAAATTAAAAATGTTCTCGATGCTTATACATCTCCGTAGTATCAACTGTAGTTATAATGAAGTCTACTTATATGCTTTATAAGATTCCCCAACGTCTTCTAGATTAGCTCTTCGGCGATGATGATTGATACCGTTAAACTATCTCAATTAGATTTGTACATAAAAACCATCCTTTTGGCTTCTAGTAAAGTTTTTATCTCTCCTACCAAACATATAAAAAATTACTTACAAGCTAAACGCATGTGAATACCTTATACTCTGGATACTGATACAACAGACGCCCCTTTCTAGTTTATTTAATTGCATTTGCGGAATGTCCTTTAAGGCGATATTGTCCTGTTAGTAGACCTACGCAAATGTGCCGATCACTCACATTGATAGCTGTAGATCTTTGGATCTCTTCTTCGAATTTTCATGTATAAAGCTTTCGAGTGTTTAAAACCCACTTGTTCATATCCTTTTGCTTTGATTTCTGGTATCTTATTCACCTTCTATATGCTCTATAAGATTTCCTAACGTCTCCTAGATTTGCTATCTGTTGATGATGATTGATACCGCTATGCTATCTCAATTAGATTTGCATATAAAAACCATACTTCTGACTTCTAGTAATGTTTGTATTTCTCCTACTAAACGTATAAAGAAATTACTTACAAGCTAAATACCTGTGAACGCTATATACTCTAGATTCTGATACAAAGCGGAACAGCAAACAGACGTCCCTTTTTACACAATATTATGTTTAAATTCTTTAAGTATTTTACAAGAACTTGTCTTTCATTTATTTACACAACCATTTGTTTCTTCCCTTTCGCCTACCCGTTTCTCAAACTTTTATTGGTCAAAATCCGATTTATACATATCAGTTTATTTATTTACATTTGAGGATTGTCCTTTAAGGCGCCAGTGTCCTGTTAGGAGACCTACGCAAATGCGCAGATCGCTCATATTGATAGCTGTAGATCTTTGAATCTCTTCTTCGTAGGTTCATGTATAAAAGCTTTTGAGTGTTTGAGACCCACTGGTTTGTATCGTTTTGCACTGCTTTCTGGCATCTTATTCGCCTTCTCTATGCTCCTACCTTCCCTCCTTCCCCATCCATATATGTAATGGAGGAAGGTCAAGTATGATCTCCATCGAGGTGGTTGGGGTGTTCGACATCGCTCCTGATATGCTTAATCATTCTTGTCGTTGAAGCTTATTCAGGTTATTATTACGCCATACGTAATCGTAGGCCTGACTACAGTCATATATTGCCAGTACATCTGTTTGAATTTTAAATCCCATGTTTTCCCACATATCCTTAGACATGTTCAAAGGAAAAGCTTTGCTTTGTTGGTTATTCTTACCAAATGGGCGTTCCATGTTTATATCTCTTCGACCAAACTTGTATAAAGAAGTTACTTACAAGGTAAACGCCTGAGAACACACGATTAAACTTAAATTCTTCTTAAATATTTTACGAGACCTTGTCTTTCATAAATTTACACATTACACAACCTTTTTTTTTCAAGAGCCGCAGCAATACTCTTTTTGCCTTCTCAGCTTTAACTTTCCCGCTCCTTTCCTTTCGCCTATCGTCAAATTTTTATGGATCAAAATCCGATTCATACATAGCTCAGTTTATTTAATTACATTTGCGGAAATTCCCGTCGCATACCTGTTCTGTTCTTTCTACACAATCGAAAAACAAATTTTTTATATATTCAGGTACTAATTCCTTACTTGACAACGACATACTCTATTATTCGTTTTTATTTATTGTTTTTTTTTCTTTAAGGTTTCTTGAAATTCTTCAGAATAATTGTTTGAAACAGATTATTTCATTATTAAAAGGATTTGTTCATCATCCAACGATAAATTTTAAATATTTCTGTTTTAAATACAGTGTTTACAAACCTAACTACAATTTAATACTTTTTAATGATTATTTCTGTTTTATAATTAACCCTTCTCCCTATACATACATTTTCCCCTATAATATAATAACAAAAGGTCCATGCTTCGTTTTTCAATTAACAGGAACCTAGTATATATATATATATATATATATATATATATATATATATAATATATATATATATATATATATATATATATATAGGGTGGTCCTTAAGTAATTGTACAAAAAGAAACAGTAGCTTCTACACTTTAAAATATTACAATTTAAGCCAAATTGCTTTAATAAAATGTTAATATTAAGAAAGATACAGGGTGTTAAAGTGGAAATTAAAAATTTTATTTTTCGCTTATAACTTTCATGTTTGTAAATGAATAAAAATTTACAACTGGGTACTTTTAAATATGAGAAATTATAATTTGATGCACACTTTGACGTAGATGATTAAGGGCGCCACATATGCCACAGAGGTGGCATAAATTTGCACTTAACTTTTTCGTTCTTCAAGTTACCTGTATTTGTGACAAAAGATATTAATGATACATTATTTTAACAAAAAAAAGTATACCTGTTAATAACTTCAAAACTCAACAGTTTTCGAGATAATCGCATTTTACAAGTCAGCTGCATAATTCTGATTTAACGCAATTACTACAGGCAACGAAGGAAAAATAGACAAAAACATTAATACTTCTTAATTTTGGTATAAAATACCTTTAACTAAAGTTAATATTTAACAAAATATTAAATAAAATAAATATATTAGCTGGAAAATTAATAATAGGATTTGACAAAATAACAGAATAATGGGATTTTACATCAAACATTTTCCGTTTTATATTAAATTAAAGTTATAATCAAAACATTTTATTTACAAACCAAATTAAGAAATAGTTAAAAAATAAAATCTTAAATTTCCACTACATTTAAATATTGTAACATGTTTGTTTTAGATTACCACATGGTTCATTTTGTTAAGCCAAATCTGTTGGGTACATTAAAGGAATTTAGAACCAATTTTGTTAATCCTATAACAAATGGCCAATATGAAGATTCAACATCTCATGATATTAGTTTAATGAGAAAAAGAACTCACGTTTTGCATAAACTTCTTGGTGAAACTGTTCAGGTAACGTTAGTAATGAAATGTGTATTTTATAGTTCAGTAAACCTGTGTATGTATTGGATTTATTTGGTTTTCTTATGTTTTTAGTAAACGGTTTGGTATGTGTGTGTTTAGATTTATGATATTGGTTTAGACCAATTGACCAGTTCATTCTCATAAATATAATGGCCTAGTTATCTAAGATGTATTCTATGTTAATAAATACTAATACTAAATAAGTACTAAATAACTATTAGTGTGTCTTAATGCGTATTTCTGAATCTTTGGTCATCATCAGTACGGTGCAGCCAAGTTAAAATAGGAGAAAATTAACATGGAACAGGATTACTGCAGGAGTAATGCAAGAATTTTTTAACAAAACTCTCAGAAGAGCCTGATCTATAGAATAAAAACTAATACATCCAAGAAGAAAGCTAAAACTACCTGGAAAAAAGAACGACAAAATGTTTATAACATATATAATAAAAAGAAAAGGTTAATTAATGCGAATAAAAGACAGTAATACAAAAAAGGCATATATATATATATATATATATATATATATATATATATATATATATATATATACTTCTAGCGGTTAATATGGGCTCCGTACTAAAACGGTATTATACTAACTCCAGGAGAATATACGCCGTGTATATTATTATCTGAGTAGCGCTTTATGTAGACTCCGACCAACACGTCGGATCAAGTGGACTCCGTAACTGAATAAAACATTTTTGGGATCCGTATACAGCTTTTAGCGTACACAACTAAGCTCCTGCGATGTTGCCAGTAGTTGTATTAGTCGTAGATTTTCAAATTTTAGAGCAGGTACATTTTAGAACTTAAAATTTATTTAAATATCCACCAGGTTAGTCATCGAGGAATTCCAAGAATATTTGGCTACTGTTTTTAAATATATTATAATATAAATTGTTAATATAATTTTATTTTATTTTTATGTTTAATAAGCACTTTGATAATTTAAATTACTTGCTCTAATTATTTTCAAACTTCATCCATTATAAACTTATTAATGCTAATATACAGCATTATTTTATAGCATTCTAATATTTTAGCTATGGAATAAATCCGAATAGCTTTTTGATATTACTTTACTTTCTCGGAGACATTATATTGTAACACAAGGATCTTATTAAATTACCAAAACCTTCCTTTCATATTTTATTCACTTATAAGTTGCAGCACTAACATCAGTAAGATAATAAGGCGTACCTATAGTTCTGGGCAGCTTAATAGAAAACTTGAATTTAGCAATTTTATTGGTTTCGGGACTGCTAACTGGATTGGGGAAGCAGGATATCAGCATTAAGTTAATGCATATAGGAATTGTTGCTTGACGGTTGAAATATCAAATACCAGAAGGTACGACGGTGGCAGTCTGAGAAAGCAAAGCAAAACAACTTAACTATTATTAGACAATATCATATTTCCTAATAAACTAATATTCACTTTATAACGAGACAAAAAGATATCGAAACAGTATGTACATACCAACGGTTTTCCTATGTCGGCATCCAGCAAAATTGTTGTAATATTGATACGGGAAACAAAACCTTCAGAGAGAAATTGGCCCCAAGAAACTCTGCTTTAATAAACAGTCGAATAAAATACAGATTCTCGATTTAAATAGTAAAAAAATTAAAGAACAATTTATTAAAATAGAAACAGCGCCGATTTACGATGTAATCCATTAACGGCCCAAGGTACAAAGCAGCTCCTAGTTATGCTGATGATTACATCTATAAATATGTAAACGACATACTGAACAAAGTCCAGAGAGCACGAAAAAAGTTTCAAGTAAACTCAACGAAGTGAAAACCAAATACCAGCGCATAAACATAAGAGACCGTCAGTAAATCTAGATACAACGTTAAAGTCAACAATTTTAATTTCGAAAGTATGGAAGACATTAAATATCTTAGAACAATAATCGCAGTTGGTAATACTACCACTGAAGGAGTTTAGAGCATAATACAAGCTTTAGACCTATTTTTATGTACGGATGCGAATCATTACAATGACTAAAACAAATAAAAAAAGACTTCAAATATTGATAGATAATTGATAGGGAATAAGCACATCTATAGATAAGAATGAACAGATCATACAAGGTGGATAGCAAGGATTTCGGATTGGAGCCCAATAGGAAGGAGAAAAAGAGGTAGACCCCGAAGATCATGGAGGGATGAAGTGGACGAGGCCATGGAAAAACGAGACCTTAGAGATAGAGAATGGCAGAACAGAGAGGACTGGAGACGTCGGCTGAAAGAAAGAAGGCGGCGACAGCTGTAAAAATCCTTATATAGATAGATAGATAGATAGATAAGAATGAATAACATATCTTAGATAAATAAGCGGAACAAAAGAAATTGTGTATAAACTTGAAATTTCAGAAATAATAATTAAATGAATTAATGTAAATCGTAGGAAAAGAAATAAGAGGAGCCATGACACAGTGAAAAACTAGAAATCTTATGGAAAAATACAATAAACTATTACATTTGCTCTTTAGCACCGTGAGAAGATCAAAATACAAATCTGCATATATAATTATATTAAAGAAAAGTTAATAAAAACTTCTGTTCGTCAGCAGCCAGAGAAAGTACACATTCTAATATATTGAATAATGCTTTTAGCATAAAAAAAACGGTGTTATAGTCAATAACAAGAAAATCAAATAAAAGTTCATTAACAGACAAAAGGTATGATATAGAATGGAGCATTAATGTAACAATAAAACCATATACTTTTGAAGGATTGGAGCTATTTAGATATCGCTGATAACTTTGTCACATAAAAGATAAAAGCGAAAATGCATGTAGCAAACCATAGACATATAGTACAAATAGACTGAATACTGCCATACATTCACGTTTCCGCAATGCGACAGAGAAAACTGACGAAAAGCAATATCTGTATCTTTTTCTAATGGGACGGGTTTATCGACCACGTGACCTTCTCATTGGTCATTTAGGTCACGCGTTCGATAAACCTGGTAAATTAGAAAGAGATGCAGGGACTGCTTTTCGCCAGTTTTCTCTGTCGCAGTGAGGAAACGGACCTGTATTGCAACAGTCAGTCTATTTGTATTTTATGTATATGTAGCAAACTGATATCCTCATATCACTATTAAATCTACAAAAAGAAGAAACTGCAATATAAACAAAATTTGTTTAGTACGTGTCTAGAAAAGAACTCTAAAAAAGAATTTGGAGATAGAAACGTCAACTACATGTGTAATATAAAAATCAAATTTATTCTTTTAACCAAAATGTTCACACCAAGTTTTAATGTATTTAAATATCCGGTAGCTCAAACTACTTGTATGCTATAATAGTATTCAGTAATCCATCTCAATATGTCTGACTTTATTTTTTTTTAATTTTTTGGATAGAATGAAAGAAATATGCCACAATATTTATTATGTACTACATATTTTATTTGACGCTTCAATGTTCAAATAAGAGTTCGTTCTTAAAAATGTACAATATTATTTTTACAAGGTATTACGTATAAGATGTTATTTATGTTTTTACTTTATCTAGTTGGTCATAATAATCAATTAGTTCGCGGTTGTTTCGCACTCTGTATTGATTTGTAATATTATCGATAACAGGTTTATATATTTCTCTAATAATTCTTCTTTCTGCTATGCTCAATCGGCTCTTATTTTGTTTTTTTCGTCGTCCATGTTTCATGTTTTAATTCTCCCTGTATAATTAGCCCATTAACAGAGAGTCATTTCATCCAATTAGAGTGGAGGCTGCTCAGTCATCAAAGACAATCATTCCATCCAGTAAGGATGAAGACTGCTTAATCATCAAAGACAGTCGTTCTATCCAGTAGGGGTGAGGGCTGCCTAGTTGTCGAAGAGACAAGTGCTATCTGTCAAACAAGAGAGTCGTGTCTTGGTTAAGGGGTAGCTGCCCTTTGCGCTATCGCCGATTCTTTTGTGGTTGCTGTATGTCAAGGGGTAAGGTCAGCCTACATATCTGTTGCTAAAATTACTTCGCTGCTGTAACGAGTACCATTTACTGGTATATGAATTTTGTTACGAATTTATCTTATGTGCTAAATAAACTCTAATAAATCTTTTACCGCGAATTAAAAAACATGTTTTAACCTTTACGTTTATCTAAATAAATATTTACTATGTTGTATAATAGTTGTTTATTATGTTTGTTTTATTATTTGTATCTCTATAGGTATAATTTAGAATATAATATTATTTGTCTTATATACAAAATCATACGATTTGCGTTACATTGATATTTATGTGGCAATTAGCTATAGAGTCATTAGTCTTTCCTGTCATATCATATTTTCCTTAATCAACAAACCATAATCAAGCGGTTTAATTTGTGTAATACAATATCCCAATTCGTCTCATAATATTTAGTTTTCAAAACAGCTGTTACGCTAATAATTCGTTCACCTTTGTTAAAACACTTTGGATTACGTCTACTTTTTCTTGGCTACGCAATTTTAGTTTTTAAATTACAGTATTTATTGATATGTTATTGATAGGTTATGCAAGTGTTGAGGAATAGTTTGGGATTGATATATGAGGTTGTGAAATATTAGGTATTGTTGATAACTGGGTAGTTGTTATATTTTTATCTGTGTATGTAGTTTGAGAACTTGGGAATAATGTTAAGGGTGATATTTGAGATGGAGTTAATATTGGTATAGTTAATTAAGTAGGTATAGTCGAGGATTGTAAGGAAAAGGACTTCGCTGAAGATGCGGATGTGATCAGGACGTCATGTGTGGAAGAGTATTAACTACTGTATTTATAGTAGTAGTTGGCACTGTTGTTGTAAAGTTCTGATTTGGATTTGTACAGAATGACCAATTTGCTACAAAATGGTCAGATTTTTTACAATAGTAACACATCTGTTTTCTAAAGATAAGAAAATACGATTAGATGTTTGATCGTGGTTTCTGACAATTGAGGGAGGAATTAATGTAGCTTTCAAAGGAAAGATAAATGTATG